ACATTGAAGTCAACACTCATAAGCGGCAGTCTATTTCATGCTAAATACAATCGCCAGGCCATGACGGTTGAGTTTAGCGAGAAACAGACTGACGCCGCCTCTTGGTGTTGACTCCCATGTCCACATTCATATATATATATATATATATATATATATATATATATATATATATATATATATATGTATATGTATATATATGAAGAAATATAGTCTTACGATGTGCTATAATTATGGGATAAAGTGCTCAATATCAGAGGTAGAGCGTGTGTAAATATAAAAGTGAACATAGAAATCAACACTTAGAGGCGTCAGTCTGTTTTATGCTAGATGCAATCGTCAGGCCACGAGAGTGTTGTTATTTTTTCTCGGCTATTTATATGTATAAATATATACACACACATATATATATATATATATATATATATATATATATATATATATAAATATATATATATATATATATATATATTAGCATAAACAATATTGATACAAACAACAAGAGGAAAATTTATTTTTACGACGCGTTTCGTTCCTTCAGGAAATTCATCAAAGACAAATGTATGAAATTTATTGAGAACAATCATCTTTATTTACGCATTAAATATTTACATCGTTTCTTTCCCTCGTTACTTGAAATCAATGCTGAAAAATTTAAATTCAAAGAGTTTTTTGTTTGTTTGTTTTTTTATCTCGGGCATAAGTAATGTTAATTGCCATATTGCTTCCTGTCTAGTTTTGCGTCTAAATTCTACTTTTAAATCCGATGTCATGTACCAATGGCTTTACAAAGATATAGTTAAGTACTGCAGTTAAATTAGTAGTGCGTTCAACCCCAGCTTAAGGAAGTAAAATCCATATACTATGACTCACCATGCACCAAAGTAACATTTCAAAGCCGAATTAAGTAACACGAGATTATCCCTTAGAATAGACAGTAAAATGAGATCAATGTGTTCTCGTGGATTAGAGTTTGATTGGAAAAATTCTGAGATCGTTATTTGATCATGACAGTAACTGAAGAAGGCGACGGCGCGTATTACAACCGAAACGTTGTGAATTTTACAACTAAGATCGTAACATTTAAAAAGTATCTGTCACGTTCTGCAATACTTTATCTTTATAAGATTCAGATTAGACAAAAAATAGAACCATTGCTGCCAGATATGTTCTGGAGCTACACAATTTTCACTTTCTGGTCTTGAAAGTATTCAAAATAGTTTACACGTCTTTGACTCTCCCCGCCCCCAATCAGAAGCCCCTTTCCCACAGATAAGACATCGCAAACCTATCATTATTCTATCCCTGTTTCCATGACAGATGTTCAGATGAGCTACGTTATTTAGTTCCGCTATTTCAAACCTTTATAGCTAACTCGTCATGCTACTTTCCTTGAGTCGAAACATCCTCATTCCCTCCGTATTTCAAATGCAAGGAGTAAGTTTCAATCAGTCGGAATTTTATCCACAAGAACGGCTGAACTATGGAACAGACCGTGGTTATTTCTCCGATCTCTACAATCTTAACCGTCTTCGAGTCAAGGATCAATCGTTATCTATCCACCATATGCTCATAATCTTCACTTCCTAATTTGCTCCTCTTACATATCACACATATCATTCAGTAACCCTATACCACTCAAGGTTCTTGAACCTTGTATCGGCTGAACATTAATAAAAAAAGATGATGATACTCGTTCGAATATATATATATATATATATATATATATATATATATATATATATATATATATATATATATGGAGAAATATAGTTTAAGGTGCGGTATATTTATGGGATAAAGTGGTCAATATCAGAAATAGAGCGTATGTAAATATAAATATAAAAGTGAACATTGAAGTCAACACTCAGAGGCGACAGACTGTTTCATGCTAGACGCAATCGTCGGGTCGCGAATGTTCGATTTTACCGCAGATGTACGATTTTTCCTCGACTATCTAGTCGAGGAAAAATCGAACATTCGCGGCCCTGACGATTGTGTCTAGCATGAAACAGTCTGTCGCCTCTGAGTGTTGAAATCAATGTTCACTTTTATACATATATACATATGAACAGTGAAGTCAACACTTAGAGACGACAAGCTGTTTCATGCAACACGCAGTTATATTTACACGCTCTATCTCTGATATTGATCACTTTATCCCATATATATATATATATATATATATATATATATATATATATATATATATATATATATATAAGGATTCTCATCTTAGAAATTCTGATAAATATTATGTGACGTATATTAGATAGCACTTTGTTTATCCACTGTTTAATATCTGGTGTACCAAAAAATCGTGTGTAAAAATGACGGTTTTTTTCCCTTGATACCGCTATTATTTTAACTACCATCACTCCTTGGCAATGTTTATTGTTTTACAAGGCGATACGTGAATTCATCCATTTTCTTTGCTATTGTGAATTGACAACAAAAATAATAAACAGTATTTATTTATTAGATTGTTTATTAATGTATATTTGGGCAGCAAACTTTCTTTTGAACATCTTTCGTTAAATATGGCGGACAAGAAAAACTTTATTAATTTATTGTTTATTTTTTCCAGCGATCTTATTCGTTTGTTGGGAGTGAAGGAGTATAAAATCTGTCCATATTGTTGATTGTGGCAAGCCCTTTAGGAGACCTCCTCAACCATTTTCACGGGGGCTTTGTTTTGGTGCTGTAATTTTCTTTTCATGGCCCTTCAAAATGGCTAGAGAATTGGCCGAAAGCGCTTCGTACAATCGGCGATATGGTCAGTTTTTATACTCGTCCACTTTCAACAAACGGAAAAATTTAAGAACACTGAAAAAATAAATAAAAATTAATAAAATGTTCCTTGTCCCTCATATTGAATAATAGATCGTTTATTTACACTATTTATTAGCTTCTTTATTGGGATTATCGGTTAATTACCAATCGGTTTGAATTTTATAAAATGCTAAATAATAATGGTTTCCTTATAACTGGTTCACATATTTTAATAATTTAGTAAATGTTTATATATTTATAAATAAAAATTGTTTTTATATTTTTTTTCTTCATAAATTGATCTCTATCTATAAAAGGCTGTGTGTGTGTGTGTCTGTGTGTGTGTGTGTGTGTGTGTGTGTGTGTGTAACAAATGCACGGCCGCAATTTTTGACGGATTTGCACCAAAATTTACGTGCACATGCTCCAAGTTAGCGGAAAGGCCAAGACCGACTTTGCATTTCTCAACTTCGATCGATAGTGGATATAATCGATTTATTCATGCTTCTACGGCAGTTTTCATGTAGTTTGCGGCCATTTTCTACTGGCCAGAGTGAAAGCCAATAGCTGGCTTCCACGAATAGGCAGGAAGATTCTACTGGCCAGCATGAGAGCCAACAGCTGACTGACACGAATATTAACTGGCATGCAAAAAATCTATAGCTGCATTCGTCACAAGTGGGAAAAATGTAAATCTGCATGGCACTTTACTCCAATTGGCTGATTCGCTTGCTTAAAGACAACGTTGATTCTGATTCTGCAGAACTGGGTTGGGTGTGAAAAAGTATTTGTTGTTAACATTCTTTTTTCATTCGGTTTTTCTAGTTACGAGTCCTTTTTTAAAGCTGATCGTTTTGTGTTCATTTTGTTTAGTTCTTTTTTCTTAACAGATTCAATGTTTAATATAGAGCTTAGAAAAAATTCTCAGTGTGAGATAGGCAAGTAGTAAGGCATGTAGCAACATCAGCACGGCAAAGGGCACTCCTTTAAAGGCAAAGAAGAGCAAAAATATTTTAAGTCAAGTGATAGCGATTGCTGTATGAGTCGTACGATTTTTGAATCAAGCACGAGCAACGCCGGGCCATGCTGCTAGTAGATGATAAATATCGCATTGCATTAGTCCAAATACAATTGTATTAGTTTTTTTTTAATTATTCTTATAAATAAACAATCTAATAAATAAATATTGTTTAATATTTTAGTTGTAAATTCTCAAGAACGAAAATTATATAAATTCACTTTCATCATATGTTAAGATTTTATTATAAATCTAATCAACGCTTTTTTAAGAAATAAACATTGCTGAGAAGGGACGGTAGTTAAAATAATATCGTTTTTAAGGGGAAAAAGCCGTCCTTTCGACACTTTTTTTTCGTGCAAAAAGGTTAACCTTTGCTCTTTAACCAATACTCAGTGTGTGAAAATAAGATTTAGCGAAGTAAACATATAAGCTTTCGTCTATTCTGCATCAAATCAAACTCCTGACTCCAGAAATATTTATCATTGTTTTCAGACAATGTTGAATTTTAAAAGATTTTTTATTGACTTTCGTTTCGAGTGCATCTGACTTTGCAAAACCCAGAATAGATTGGGTCATGCTTGTAGCTGTTATCAAATGCAACGACCTAAATAGCAATAGGCTGCTGGAGTTTCAACCATGCGAAATGAAAGTTACGAATTTCAGCGCCGAGGTATTAAGCAATCGAACCGTTATAATACCTGACTTTTAATAAACTCTGACAAATTCCTTTCTTTTGACTTCATTTTTCCACTTTTAGCTGTTATGTTTATTTGCCAGGTTTATTGGACTCAAGAAACTGAGCAATGAAAGCTGAATTTTCAAACATGACACGCTTCAAAAGTACAAACTTTGCAGAAGTGTTATTTTTAATCGGGTTTAATTTTCCCTTCCCGACGAGTGTGTGTGCACTAAGTAATGCATGTGAAGTTTTCCGGGGATGCAAACGATCAATGTTAAAAAGAAAACTATCCGGTTGTTTTTGTTTTTGTTTTATCTTCCATGTTGTTTGATCTTTTGGCAATAACACTTGCCTCACTCTTAGTACTGACCAGTCTTAGTTTTTATTTTTCGAGAAATATCTTTTGTCCTCTTTTCTTTCTCTTTCTCCGCCTTCTCTTTCTTTTTGTTTTACCATATCTAATTTTTTATTACACCCTAGATTTTCTTTCTTTCTTTCTTTCTTTCTTTCTTTCTTAATCTCTTATTTTAGCATTTCCACTCGCTCTTTTTTCCTTTTTCATCCGATATGTCTTATTCTCTCCCATTCTCTCTCTCTCTCTCTCTCTCTCTCTCTCTCTCTCTCTCTCTCTCACCTTATTTCTCTTTCTCCTTGCGTTTTGCTTTCTTTCTTAAACAGGCTTACGCTCATATCACGTTGAAACACCGGCTCTCGTACGATCACCAAAGTTAAGCAACGTCGAGCCTGGTCATTAACTAGATGGGAGACCGCTTGTGAACACCAGGTGCTGTAAACTTGGATGTGCGGATAGTGTTATAGCTTATGTCCATATTACGTTGACACACCTGTTCTTGAAGTTAAGCAACGTCAAGCCTGATCAGTGCCTAGATGGATGACCGCTTAGGAATATCAGATGCTGTAAGCTTAGATTTGCGTATGGCGGTATGTCGTATGCACATATCACGTTGAAACATCAGTTCTCGTACGTTCACCGAAGTTAAGCAATGTCAAGCCTGGTGAGTACCTAGATGCTTGTCCGCTTGGGAATATCAGGTTCTGTAAGCTTGGATGAGCGGATTTTGGTATGGATGACGTCTCAGAATTGGAAATCGGAGAGCCGTGTTCCAATTCCAGTCGTGCCCGTTAGATTTACGTACGCGCAAATCACTTGGAAAAGGTATGAACCCACCTTGATTCCCACACACCTATGGGTTACTTAGTAGGACTTGTATCAAAAAATCATTATCATCTCCCAAGCAATCTTACAATCTAAAAATATATTCTGGCTTAAAAAGAAAAAAATTCATAAACCGTAAAAAATCAATCAATCTTTTCTTCAACAACCTCTTGCTTGCATTTTCTCCTTTTCATTTAAAAGCGTCGACTCTTTAATTTTCTTTCTCTAAATCTTTGTATTTCTCTTTCTCCCTCTGTTTCCTTCTTTCTTTTCTCTTTCTCAAAAGCAAATTGCTTTTTGTTTTTCTTTCTTTTCTGCTAATTTTTCTCTTTCGTTTTCTATTTTTTTCTTTGTTCTCTATTTTTCTTTTTCCTTCTCTATTTTTCTTTTTCCTTCACTATTTTTCTTTTTCTTTCACTATTTTTCTTTTTCCTTCTCTATTTTTTCGTTCTCTAATTTTATTTTACTTTTTTATTTTACTTCTTCGTCCTAGATTTTTCTTTTTCCTTCTCTATTTCCTTTTTCGTTTTATATTTTCATTCTTCCTTCTCTATTTCCTTTTTTGTTTTCTATTCCCTTTCTCTTTTTCTACTTTTCCTTATCGTTCTCTATTTTCTTTTTCGCGTTTTTTGTTTTCCTTTTCGTTCTCTATTTTTATTTCAACTTGTTTGTTTCTTTCTTTCTTTCTTTCTTTCTTAATTTCCTATTTTGTCCTTCTCAGTTTCTTTTTCCATTTAATTTCTTCACTCCATTTAATGTCTTCACCGTCTTTCTTTTATTATTTTTTCCTTTCTCTACGACCTTTTATTTCGCTTGCTCCCTCACTCTCTTTTTCTTTCTTTCTTTTCTTTTCTTATTTTCCTATTTTGTCCTTCTCAGTTTCTTTCACTTTCCATTTAATGTCTTCACCGTCTTTCTCTTTTATTATTTTCCTTTCTCTACGAACTTTTATTTCGCTTGCTCCCTCACTTTTTTCTTTCTTCCTTTCTTTCTTAATTTCTATTTTGTCCTTCTCAGTTTTTTTTCTCTACTATTTAATGTCTCCACCGTCTTTTCTCTTTTATTATTTTTCTTTCTTTCTCTTTTATTATTTTCCTACGACCTTTTATTTCGCTTGCTCCCTCCTCTCTTTTTTTTCTTCCTTTCTTTCTTAATTTTCTCAGTTTTTTTAATGTCCTTCTTAGTTTTTTCTTTTCTCTTTTATTTCCTTTCTCTACTCCTCCTTTTTTTCGTTGCCTATTTTGTCCCTCTCAGTTTCTCTCTTTTTAATGTTCTTTTTTTCTCTTTTATTTCCTCTCTTTTTTCTTTCTTCCTTTCTTTTCTTATTTTTAATGTCTTCTTTCTTTTCTTTTTATTACCTTTCTCTATTTCTTTTATTTCTTGCTCCCTCACTCTCTTTTTTTTTCTTCCTTTCTTTCTTAATTTCCTATTTTGTCCTTCTCAGTTTCTTTCACTCCATTTAATGTCTTTTCTCTTTTTATTATTTTCCTTTCTCTACGACCTTTTACGAACCCTCTTTTCTCTTTTTTTCTTATTTTTTTTAATTTTCCTTTCTCTACGAACTTTTTATTTCGCTTGCTCCTTTTATTTCTTTTTTCTTTTTCTTCACTTCCTTTCTTTCTTAATTTCCTATTTTGTCCTTCTCAGTTTCTTTCTCTTTTATTCACCGTCTTTTCTCTTTTTTTTCCTTTCTCTACGACCTTTTTATTTCCTTGCTCCCTTAATGTCTTTCACCGTCTTTCTTTCTTTTATTATTTTTCCTTTTATTATTTTCCTTTCTCTACGACCTTTTATTTCGCTTGCTCCCTCACTCTCTTTTTTCTTTCTTTCCTTTCTTTTCTTAATTTCCTATTTTGTCCTTCTCAGTTTCTTTTTTCACTCTATTTAATGTCTCCACCGTCTTTCTCTTTTTATTATTTTCCTTTCTCTACGACCTTTTATTTCGCTTGCTCCCTCACTCTCTTTTTTTTCTTTTTCTTTCTTCCTTTCTTTCTTAATTTCCTATTTTGTCCTTCTCAGTTTCTTTCTTTTAATGTCTTTCTTCCTTTTATTTTTCCTTTCTTTTCCTTTTATTTCCCTCCCTCACTCTTTTTCTTTTCTTCCTTTCTTTCTTAATTTCTATTTTGTCCTTCTCAGTTTCTTTCACTCCATTTAATGTCTCAACCGTCTTTCTCTTTTATTATTTTCCTTTTAATGTCTCTACGACCTTTTATTTCGTCTTGCTTTTATTATTTTCCCTTTCTCTCTCTTTTTTCTTTTGCTTCCTTTCTTTCTTAATTTCCTATTTTGTCCTTCTCAGTTTCTTTCCTCCATTTAATGTCTTCACCGTCTTTCTCTTTTATTATTTTCCTTTCTCTACGAACTTTATTTCGCTTGCTCCCTCACTCTTTTTTTTCTTCCTTTCTTTCTTAATTTCCTATTTTGTCCTTCTCAGTTTCTTTCACTCTATTTAATGTCTTCTCACCGTCTTTCTCTTTTATTATTTTCCTTTCTCTACGACCTTTTATTTCGCTTGGATCCCTCCTTTTTTTTTCTTCCTTTCTTTTCTTAATTTCCTATTTTGTCCTTCTTCTTTCAGTTTCTTTTTCCTTCTCTATTTAATGTCTTCACCGTCTTTCTCTTTTTTATTATTTTCCTTTCTCTACGACCTTTTATTTCTTTCTTGCTCCCTCACTCTCTTTTTCTTTCTTCCTTTCTTTCTTAATTTCCTATTTTGTCCTTCTCAGTTTCTTTCACTCCATTTAATGTCTTCACCGTCTTTCTCTTTTATTATTTTCCTTTCTCTACGACCTTTTATTTCGCTTGCTCCCTCACTCTTTTTTTTCTTTTTCTTTCCTTTCTTTCTTAATTTCCTATTTTGTCCTTCTCAGTTTTTTCTCTCTATTTAATGTCTCCCTCCTCCACCGTCTTTCTTTCTTTTATTATTTTCCTTTCTCTTTCCACGACCTTTTTATTTTCCTTTCTCCCTCACTCCTCTTTTTCTTTCTTTTAATTTCCTATTTTGTCCTTCTCAGTTTCTTTCACTCCATTTAATGTCTCCACCGTCTTTCTCTTTTATTATTTTCCTTTCTCTACGACCTTTTATTTCGCTTGCTCCCTCACTCTCTTTTTCTTTCTTCCTTTCTTTCTTAATTTCCTATTTTGTCCTTCTCAGTTTCTTTCACTCTTTATTTAATGTCTCCACATTCTTTCTCTACGACTTTTTTTTCGCTATTTTTTTCTTTCTCTACGACCTTTTATTTCGCTTGCTCCCTCACTTTTTTCCTTTTTTTCTTTCTTCCTTTCTTTCTTAATTTCCTATTTTGTCCTTCTCAGTTTCTTTCACTCTATTTTAATGTCTTCACCGTCTTTCTCTTTTATTATTTTCCTTTCTCTACGACCTTTTTATTTCGCTTGCTCCCTCACTCTCTTTTTTTTTCTTCCTTTCTTTTTTGTCTTAATTTCCTATTTTGTCCTTCTCAGTTTTCTTTCTCTACGACCATTTAATGTCTTCACCGTCCTTCTCTTTTCTTTTTTCTCTTTTTTCCTTTCCTTTCTCTACGAACTTTTATTTCGCTTGCTCCCTCACTCTCTTTTTTTTTCTTCCTTTCTTTCTTAATTTCCTATTTTGTCCTTCTCAGTTTCTTTTTCACTCCATTTAATGTCTTCACCGTCTTTCTTTTTTTCATTATTTTTTCCTTTCTCTACGACCTTTTATTTCGCTTGCTCCCTCACTCTCTTTTTTTTTTCTTTTTCTTTCCTTTCTTCTTAATTTCCTATTTTGTCCTTCTCAGTTTCTTTCACTCCATTTAATGTCTTCACCGTCTTTCTCTTTTATTATTTTCCTTTCTCTACGAACTTTTATTTCGCTTGCTCCCTCACTCTCTTTTTCTTTCTTCCTTTCTTTCTTAATTTCCTATTTTGTCCTTCTCAGTTTCTTTCACTCCATTTAATGTCTTCACCGTCTTTCTCTTTTATTATTTTCCTTTCTCTACGACCTTTTTTCGCTTGCTCCCTCACTCTCTTTTTTTTCTTCCTTTCTTTCTTAATTTCCTATTTTGTCCTTCTCAGTTTCTTTTTCACTCCATTTAATGTCTTCACCGTTTCTTTCTTTTTATTATTTTCCTTCTCTTTTTTCTTTCGACGACCTTTTTCTTTCGCTTGCTCCCTCACTCTCTTTTCTTTTATTATTTTCTTTCTTCCTTTTCTTTTTGTCTTAATTTCCTATTTTGTCCTTCTCAGTTTTTTTTCACTCTTTTTAATTTCCTATTTCTTTCACCGTTTAATTTCTCTTTTTATTATTTTCCTTTCTCTACGACCTTTTATTTCGCTTGCTCCCTCCTCTCTTTTTTTTTTTTTCTTTTCTTCCTTTCTTTCTTAATTTCCTATTTTTTCCTTCTCAGTTTCTTTCCTCCTCTATTTAATTCTCCTTCACCGTTCTTTCTCTTTTTTTTATTATTTTCCTTTCTCTACGACCTTTTTATTTCGCTTGCTCCCTCACTCTCTTTTTTATTTTCTTTCTTCCTTTCTTTTCTTAATTTCCTATTTTGTCCTTCTCAGTTTGTCTTCACTCTTTCATTTAATGTCTTCACCGTCTTTCTCTTTTATTATTTTCCTTTCTCTCTTTTTATTATTTTCCTTTCTCTACGACCTTTTATTTCGCTTGCTCTCAGTTTCTTTCCCTCAATGTCTTCACTCTTTTTTTCTTTTCTCTACGACCTTTATTTCTTCCCCTTCTTTTCTTTCTTTCTCTTAATTTCCTATTTTGTCCTTCTCAGTTTCTTTTTCCATTTAATGTCTTCACCGTCTTTCTCTTTTATTATTTTCCTTTACGACCTTTTATTTCGTTGCTCCCTCACTCTCTTTTCTTTCTTCTTTTCTTTTTTTTCCTATTTTGTCCTTCTTTTCTTTCTCTTCAATTTCTTTCTTTTTATTATTTTCCTTTTACGACCTTTTTACCTTTCGCTTTCTTTTCTTCCTTTCTTACCTCTTTTGTCTTTCCTCCATTTAATGTCTTCACCGTCTTTCCTTTTATTATTTTCCTTTCTCTACGACCTTTTATTTCGCTTGCTTCACTCTCCTTTCTTCCTTTCTTTCTTAATTTCTTTTTGTCCTTCTCAGTTTCTTTCATCCATTTAATGTCTTCACCGTCTTTCTCTTTTATTATTTTCCTTTCTCTACGACCTTTTTATTTCGCTTGCTCCCTCACTCTCTTTTCTTTCTTCCTTTCTTTCTTAATTTCCTATTTTGTCCTTCTCAGTTTCTTTCCTCCATTTAATGTCTTCACCGTCTTTCTTTTTATTTTTCCTTTCTCTACGACCTTTTATTTCGCTTGCTTTTATTTCGCTTGCCCTCTCTTTTCTTCCTTTCTTTCTTAATTTCCTATTTTGTCCTTCTCAGTTTTTTCACTCCATTTAATGTCTTTTTTCTCTTTTATTATTTTTCCTTTCTTTTTTATTTCCCACTCTCTTTTTTTCTTTCTTTTCTTAATTTCCTATTTTGTCCTTCTCAGTTTCTTTCACTCCATTTAATGTCTTCACCGTCTTTCTCTTTATTATTTTCCTTCTCTCTACGACCTTTCATTTCTTTTTTGCTCCCCGTCACTCTTTATTATTTTCTTTTTTTTTATTTCTTTCCTTTCTTTCTTAATTTCCTATTTTGTCCTTCTCAGTTTCTTTCACTCCATTTAATGTCTTCACCGTCTTTTCTCTTTTTTATTATTTTCCTTTCTCTACGAACTTTTATTTCGCTTGCTCCCTCACTCTCTTTTTCTTTCTTCCTTTCTTTCTTAATTTCCTATTTTGTCCTTCTCAGTTTCTTTCACTCCATTTAATGTCTTCACCGTCTTTCTCTTTTATTATTTTCCTTTCTCTACGACCTTTTATTTCGCTTGCTCCCTCACTCTCTTTTTCTTTCTTCCTTTCTTTCTTAATTTCCTATTTTGTCCTTCTCAGTTTCTTTCACTCCATTTAATGTCTTCACCGTCTTTCTCTTTTATTATTTTCCTTTCTCTACGACCTTTTATTTCTTGCTCCTTCTATAATTTCTTTTTGTCCTTCTTTCTCCTTTTTTATCTCTACGACCTTTTTATTTCGCTTTTTTTTTTTTTTTTTTCTTTTTTTCTTTTTATTCTTTTTCTTGCTCCCTTTTGCTTTTTTCCTCTCTTTCTTAAACAATATCCTATTTCGCCATTTTCGTTCGCTTTTTCTTTTTCTTTTTTATCTATCTTCGCCGCTTTTCTCTTCTTCTTCTTTTTCATGTATCCTTATATTCCTTATTCTCTCACTCTCACTTCTTTCTCTTTTTTGTCCTTTTTTTCTTTCTAA